ATACAAATTAGAATAATTTGTTATGTATGTATAAAGCATCATATACAGTAGGTGCGTACATTTTGTTTTAGACAAAATTAATTATCAACCCCCCACTGTGTTCTTGGTTCATTCTTCATAGGTGTTCATGAGGCTTGCCACCATTGCAAAGCTGGTCCTGGTGTTACACCACTCCAATGCAGAGAGAGAGACTAAAACCAGGAACAGCCTGGCTCTGGATGGAACCCTGTCATCAATAATGACAATAAAGATGGCTGGCCTGGAGTCCTGCTTCACGTGGGAGGCTTCCCTGACATCATCAAGGCCTCAAAAAAGGCCACAAGCAAGTACAACAAAGCACGCAGGACTTTGACAGTAGCCTCGCTATTTTGGGAATTGTTTGTATAAATGAATTTTTTTAAATTTAAATTGGTATTAGCTGCATGTAGTTCGTCACGATAACATAGCTTTTGGGGGTTTTCATTTTTATTTAAATGTTTCTTGCATGATGTTGCATATCTGTTTACTATTTGATGACTTTATTTTTATACAGAATCTCAAAGTAAACATGCACAAATTTGAGCCATGTTGTGTCTTGTGTTTTACTGTTGGGTCAGTTGGTTCAGTTGGTGCACTCTGAGTTAGGCTAATACATTGAGAACTACTGATGTATGGAAAATGGTATATTTAAAAAAACAACAACCAAAAAATAAAAAGTTTTTGCTGTATGGTAATGACGCTGAATGGGCCATACAAAAAATTGCAGTGTATGTGGCAAAATTTCGGTTGGCCCCAGCAAATCTCACTCCAAGGTTTTTGAAAAGTTGGCAGCCCTGTGTACAGCATTATATAAGGACAATAACAGGACAAGTAATTCTTTTACAGAAAAGGACAATTTTCATTTATTTTGAAGAAAATCTGGATGATGATACAGTCTTTTTTGTTCAATTAAGCTTGATGCTTGGGAAATTCCACATTCACAAGAACAAATGGACAGACGCCAAACCAAACGCTGATCTCTTTGTTTTGGAACTGCAGCGATACGCCATTACAATTAAAGACTGTAAAAATAAGAAAGCGGTCAGAACAAACCGTGTGCTTCAAAATCTCAGTATTCATCCCAGTTAATGAGGTATGTGCACACAATTACTGGTAAACCCTGGCAATAATGGTTGTAATATTGTGTTCTTGCATTGTTGGCTTTTTGGTTTTTTTTTTGTTTTTTTGTTTGTTTTGTTTCTCTTTCTTTGGGGGGTTTTGTTTGTTTGTCTGTTTGTTTGTTTGTTTGTATGTATATCTGTACTGGATGTGATCTGTAGCTGTGTCAATAAAATTTAATTTAAAAAAAAAGTTGAGGAGACAGGTCAAACTGATATGATGCTGATTTACAGGAGAATTCATGTGAAATGGAGGATAAAGCATGAACATAAACTACAGATCACCTGTAAAGCATTTTAATAAATTAATCTATCATAATTAAAACAACTGGAGACTGAAAACAAACTGATACAGGGGGTCTGATCACTTTTTTAATGAATTGACATCATTCCAGACAGGATGTTAGTGTGTCTGTGACTTCCTGTACAGACTGAAGGCTGCTGGAAACTGTCTGGAAACTGTCTGGAAACTGTCCGACTTCACCGCAGCTTTTTGTCACCGCCCCCGCTGCGGCCGCCTGCTCTCGTCTTCTTCCCAGGCGAGGCGCAGTTCATCTCGAACGAGCCTTTTGTATATATGTCTATGGGGGTGAACACTGACTCGAGAAGATGGCAGTAGTGTTCCAAAAAGAACAACAAAAGGTGAGGTAAGAGTAGTCCCCTGGTGGAATGACGAATGCAGCAGAGCAATAAAAGAAAGAAACAAAGCTCTTAGAATGTTAAGAAAGAACATGTCAATAGAGAACCTTGTAGACTACAAAAGGAAAAGGGCTGTAGCCCGAAGGATAATAAAGGAAGCAAAAAAGGAAACATGGAGAAACTATTGTTCATCCATAGGAAGAGAAATAAAAACACAAAATGTTTGGGCAATGTTTAAGAAAATGAGTGGGAAAAAAAGTTCTGGTAAAATCCCAGCGTTGGTCAGTGGTCAGAGGTTAGCTATAGCAAACAAAGAAAATGCAGATGTGTTAGGTGAGACATTTGCTGCTGTGCATAGCGGTGAACACATGAGTGATAAGCATAGGCAGCAAAAGGAGAGGATACTCAGAGAACTTGGAGAGGTAAGGAAGAAGAAAGAAAGCTTTACAACAACACTAGACATGGAATTAACAATGCAAGAACTTAACGTAGTGCTTAAAGGTACTGGGTACACAGCCCCAGGGGAAGATCAGCTCTGTTATGCCATGTTCCGGCAGCTCCCTGAAGTGTCATTAAATAGTGTTGAAATTCTTTAATAAAATCTGGAGAGATGGAGATGTTCCAAGTAGTTGGAAAAGGGCAATTATATTGCCATTTAACAAGCCAGGGAAAGATCACACTAACCCTAGTAACTATAGACCAATAGCACTCACGTCCCACCTGTGTAAATGGATGGAAAAGATTCTTGTACAAAGACTTTTGTATGTATTGGAACAGAGAGAATTAATAAAGGATATTCAGTGTGGGTTTAGAAAGAGTCAATCCACTACAGAAGCACTAGTTAGGGTAAGTAATGATATTGAAAAAGCATTAAAGATGAAAGAAACAATGGTAATTGTATTTTTCGACATAGAAAAAGCATATGATTCAATGTGGAGGGAAGGTTTACTTATTAAGTTAAATCAAATGGGCATTAATGGAAGAATGTATAATTGGATAATGAGCTTTCTCTCAGACAGGAGAATAAGAGTGAAAGTTGGGGCAGAACTTTCAAAAGAGTTTAAAGTGGAAAACGGTACCCCACAAGGGAGTGCTATTAGCCCAGTGTTGTTCAACATAATGATAAATGATATTTTTGCAAATGTAGAAGGAGGTATTAGATCAGCTTTGTATGCAGATGATGGGGCCGTCTGGATGAGGGGGAGAAATGTTTCTCATGTGATGGAAAAAATAAAGAGAGCAGTTGAGGAAGTAGAGAGATGGTCATACCAATGAGGCTTTAAGATGTCAGTAAATAAGTCCTGCTATATGATGATCACAAGTAAGAGAAAGATTGAGGTGGAGAATATAACAATGTATGGTCAGCCACTAGAGAGGGTGGCTGAATTTAAGTATCTGGGCCTATGGCTTGGCAGTAAATATTCATGGAAAAAACAATTTGAGTTCATGGAAACTAAATGTAAAAAAGTCATTCATTTGCTGAAAGCTGTAGCTGGATGTGACTGGGGGGCAGACAAACAGGCTCTTCTTGACATGTATAGGGCACTCATGAGGTCGATACTTGACTATGGATGCATAGTGTATGGTGCAGCAGCTCAAACATCATTACATGGATTGGCCAGATTACAGTACAGAGCATTACGTGTATGCACGGGAGCCATGAAGACTACCCCCATTAATGCTCTGTTAATAGAAGCAGGAGAGATGCCTCTGGAGTTATGGAGAGAAAGGGTATCATTAGCTTACTGGATCAAGCTTAAAGGAAGTGGGGCAAAGAATCCAGCTGCACAAGTTCTACAAAGCTGCTGGGAATATTCCAGGTTTCAGAGGAAAGGGTTTGGGTGGACAGGAAATGAATGGGCCAAAAAGTATGGGATAGATAATTTAGAATTCACACAGCCCAGTCCAGTCAGTATGGTCCCTCCATGGATCTACCCTGAAGCAAAGGTGGACATGAATGTTTGTAATATGAAGAAAGAATGGCGACTGAGTGAAGTGGGTGAAAGAACTAGTGAATACCTAAGAACTAGGTATTACAACTACCTCAAAATATTTACAGATGGATCTAAGAACACAAAGGAGTGTGTGGGAGCAGGGGTGTACATACCATTATTTGGAGTGAACATTTCAAAACGCCTGTCAGACCACTTGTCAGTATTCACAGCAGAAATGGTGGCTGCAATTATCAGTCTACAGTGGGTGGAGGAGGTCAGACCAGATAGGGTGGTGATATGTACAGATTCAGTTGCTATTTTGGAAAGCCTACAGTCAAAAAGCATAATCAGGGAAGATTTGTTCATTGAAGTACAGCACAGTTTGTTCAGACTTCACAGGGGTGGAATTGAGGTACAGTTCTGCTGGGTGCCAGCTCATACAGGGGTGAAGGGAAATGAGGTAGCTGATAACCTAGCAAAAAGGGCTCTGGAAAAGAACATAACAATCACAATACCTTATGGAAAAGGAGAGGGTAAAAAAATGATAAGGGCGATAGGCAAGGAAATTTGGCAGAAAAGATGGGAAGATGATCAGAAAGGAAGAAAATATCACAACATACAAAAATCGGTTATAACAAAAATCTTTAAAGAAAGGAACAGAAGAGAAGAAATCATCATGATGAGGCTTCGAGTTGGTCATACTGGTCTGAATGACACAATGAATTCAATTGGGAAAAAGGATACTGACAAGTGTGAGAGATATGGTGTTAAGGAAAATGTGGAACATATTTTAATACACTGTCTAAAGTATGCTTCAGAGAGAGAGAGGCTACAGAGGAAAGTCAGAGCAGTGCAACAGGACTGGAGCATGGCTGGAATTCTAGGAACTGAAGGGGAAAGAGAAAAGATCCAAGTTGTAAGGAAAGCATTATTCAACTTTCTGAAAGAGACCCAATTGATGGGTAGAATCTAGAGGTGGGGATATGACGCTACACACTCTTGTACAGTAGGTGGCGGTATGCACCTGAACGTTGCTTGCGATCCGCCATTAAACGAAAGAAGAAGAAGAAGATGGCCGCAGTGCAACACCAAGGATGCAAGTTGCCGTAAAAAGGAAGAAGACACGGAGCGGAACCCTTTAGCTTTTTGTTTAACAGACGGTCCAACTAATGCGGTGCACATCCTTATTGCCATTGGCTGTTAGTTGTGTGCTTCAACACGGGTGGCGGAACCGAAAAAGTAAAGTAAAAACCCAATTTGTGTTTTTTTTTATTTTTAATTACCACGTGTTAAATAAGACATACAAAACTAACTCGTGATCGTCAGCTTTCTCTCAACCTATTTTGCGAGTTAGGCAGACCCAAAGGGTTACTAAGCACACGTTAGTTAACATAGAGCTGAGATTGATTAGCTGCCGCAGCTAGTGCTAGCTGCAACAGGTAACCCAGGTGACGCAAGCTTTCTTATGTTTAGAAACTATGCAACGTCATTGGCGGAAAATATGTGTTTTTAGGGACAGTTTTATAATTCCCGCACCGATGTGTTGCCTTGAAAACAAGAGCTGACAACAGGTGGACAGATTGTAACGTTACCTGCTAATATTTGAATGTCACGCTAATGTTAGTAATCGTTTTTAAGACGCTAACGCAAACTGTTTTGCTTTAATCTAGACTGCACCTTCACCATGGAAGCAGAAGTTGAGTTTTTACGGGATCAAGGTAAGGACAAAGCACGGAGGACACACGAGCAGATTGTAAGGGCCATCAGCCAAAAGCTGACTCAGAGGGGACGTTTGACCTCAGTGTACAGAAAGAGACAGGCTGCAAATCAAAAATAAGCCATTGTGACTGCTCCAATAAATAGACGGGCCAATGAGTGAATTGCAATTTTAATGTTCAAAGCCCTTTTGGAAGAAAATAAGGAAAATATTTACAAAAAACACAATTGTCCAAACAAATTCATATAGCCTACTTTTTTTCCACATAGCTTGATATGGTTCTTAGTACAGGCTTAAGTGTTGTTTTGTCATACCTTGACAGTTTTTCATCATCAGAGGTGTCACTGATGATGACGACAGACGCAGTCGTCGAAACTGTCACGGTATTACAGGATGTAATTGTCTTGTAGTTGTAATTGTAACAAATCACAGCCGTGACGATATTGCTTAAATATGTATATGTATATATATGTATGTATATGTAT